ATTTCTATCGTTTCCAGCGTTCCTTTCATCACCGTGTTCAATGCACTTTTGTGTAACAGTTGTTGCAGTCAAAGACCGTCTGAGAAACGTCTGATATTTGCCGATGCACGTGGGGCCAGCGATTGATATTGACTGTTGTCTGCTCCAAAAGATTGCACTTCATGATGCGTTTCGAAATGGGCTAATCTTATCAGGTAGAAATGGCAGGCACTTGGATCCGGAGTCATCGGGATTATACTTAAGAGCTCAAACCCCAACCCACCGGCTCACGACGGGCAATCCTTGAAACAGCGGTTACTAACTGATTGGATGGTTATTGTGAATTGCTCGTTGTGTGAATGGATTGCGACACGCAATCTCAAGGTGGACCACGATTCCCATTTCAGTGAACCTTGATCAAATCGATCAATTGGACCGTAACTGATGAAGCAAGTAGAAATTGGGTTCTGCCTGCCCCAAAACACTGCACTCCACGGCGCGTTTCCATCTTGGTTAATCATGGAATCGCGGGAATTGCGGGAGTTGTGCGTTATCATCTAGTTACACAAAAAGCACTTCAAAAGAACCATCCAATCTGGGCAAGGCTTTGGTACCTGTAAGCAGTTCTATGCATCTGGTCACGCATATTCTTGCAGATTCCATCCCTGGTTCAATCCAGCCTCCCGCTTCTTCCCCTAACAATTCATTTTATCAACCTAATTTTTGGAAATGCGAAACCAATTGAGAAAAATGGCGCAGTAACTATCTTCTACTGGCTCTAAAACCTAAGACGATGAATATCTGATGACTGAGGAAGCATGGGAAAATCAACGAGGAATGAAAACACTTGATGAAGAGAAACCCCCACTGATGATCAAAAACAAGCCAGGTCACTCAAGGTTCGAGGTTACCCTCTTCCCGCAGGAATCACTTCAACTGATAAAAGGTAACCAAGTCTGATGGCTTTTGTGCGTTCGAGTTCACCGATTTAAGTCTCATGCACGCTGGGATCACGACAACGAGTTTTATGGAGCCTGGTTGACTGGATCCGCGTCGTGGGCAAAGACGAATTAGAAGTAAAGCAAGTCATCCGCCGTTGTGAAATCACTGCTGAAAAGCACCGACCTATGTAGGTAAGTTTGCCGAGGAGGTCAGTCCGAAGCTAAACTAGTCTCGGATAAGTATGCTGAGGGGTGCAAGGGTGCATATTCATCTAGATTTGGATTCAACGGACTGAGAGCCTATCGAGTGTGTTATCATTGAGCTGAAGCAGCAAAACAAAAAGAAGACAAAGAACCCACGTACTACAAGGTCTCGGGTCGTTACAATGCGAACTCGAATTCGTATAAATCGGTTGCTCACACTTGATGTAGGAACTTTGATTCCTAGCTTGGCCTGCTTGTCGCCTTCACCAACGTCGAGAGTCATAAGAACAAACCTGATGAGCTATACCGCTTCGTTGTCTCTGAGCGTTCAGACGTCGGGGAACTCGCAAGGATTACATTGTATACTGAGATAATCACCCAGGAACGCGAGCTGGGTGGTTACTTGAACTTCAATATTAAAAGGCCAATTAATGCAAACGGTCGCGTCTTGCTCTACATCCGGTCTTCTCGTTAACACCTATCGAAGCAAAGATTGATGTCTCCCGACCATCGGGCTGGGGTCCCAAGGACAATGAATACGTTTGGTCGAATAAACTTGTTGACATGGCGTAGAACCGACCTGAATGGCGTTTGTTTCGTGAGTTTCGTTGTCCCCTCCCGATTAGTTTCCCCTCCAAATACGAGCTCGCACTGCAAGTATACTATGATACTGAGCATTAAATTTCTAACAGTTTAGTAACCTATAAGGTTTATTGTCTCGCATTTTTCATTTACTCTATCTTTTGTGTTGCGGCACAACAGCTGAAGTGTGTTTCTAAACTTCAACTAGCGTATATTGGTGATGATGACCTAAACGACAATGGCTTATGCGAGTAGCTGGGGTGCTCGATCCACCTCAGGCGCGGGAAGCTGCACGCAGGTGCCGTTTATTGCAGCCCACAAAGTCACGGTTTGGATTGGCTACCGCATCTCCGGGACCAGATGAGTTGTCCCATTTCCTATTCATAGGCGATTTCACTTGTACTCGAATCAGATATTATGAAGCCGAAGCAAAGTTCGCTGAGATGGTATTTGAATCTGTGAGAGCACAATACGTCGGCCAATCGAAGTGTATAACACCGCGCTTAACTCCATCCTGTTTGGACGTGATGTTAACGAGCTGTGAACAACATGTGTATAACATGTGGATTCTGGATCTTTTGGAAACAAACGACCACACAATTTTTATTGTCAAACTTTAGTTGCCCGTTGAAGCAATCCAGCTCGCTGCAGCTAGCTTACAATTATTGGAAAAGGGATTTCGACGGCCCGAATCGAGCTGCAAGTCAAGTGGATTGGTCTTTTCCGCAAGTTGTATTGGTCGAAACTTACTGGTTAGTTATAAAGAACTGAAGAAACTCCTTATTTAACCAATGCTTGATGTCTAAAGACCCGAACGTCGAGTTAGCCAAGCTAAATCGATTCGACAGTGGGTATGATGAACTTGCTGGGCGGTCGCGCGTACAGCGAGACAAATGTGTGCCCTCTGGCTCTGTCTACGACCATGAGGCGTATAAAACGCAGCGCAGTATTTGCAACAGTACCAAAACAGGTAAGCGCCGTATTTCAAACAGCTACTCACAACCGCAAGAAAGGCCACGTCGATGAGCATCTTTTCTTACTGAAGCATTTTGACGGCCATTTCAGTGATAGAGGGACCGGACGGACAGCCCATAACCTTCAGCACCGAGCGTGCGTCTACGCTAAACGCTCATTTTGCTTTCGTGCTTGCAAGTCACGTTAAACCCATGCAGGTTAAACGTTTGCATCCACTATCTAACTCGACAGCTTGTTTAACTGTATGGAAGAAGTGCGTTAACTACGCTCCAAGCTTGACGGCACCAAACCTGCCGGGCATGATGAGCAGAAACTACTGATTCGCAATTCCCATCGGCCGTCCTCTCATCCACTGTGACTGTCCACGGTAACAGGGCACTGCTGAAGGTTCATTGACGCGCGGTTGGGAATGCTCAGTGATAAAGCCAAGGACGAAAGGCGATGACCCCAACGGAATGGACAAGTGCAACTCATTTGACAACTATTTTGATTATGGTTGTCGATAACATTGTGAGGAAGGGTGTACTGTAACTGCTGCAATCAAAAGAGATATTAACACCCGTGCACCCCGGTTCTGAGACAAATCGTTCACGCGTTAGCGTTTTACTGGTAACAAAGTATGAATAGTTGTAGGATGTGAACCAGGGGAAGTCAATCAACGTGCTATACAACGATTTAAGTAAAGATTTGGACAACGTAGACCATGAGGTCTTTCTCCATAAGCTGAGGGTGTGCACCAGAGATTTTTAAAGATTTAGTTAGACGAAAGAGTAGTGTAAAAGTTGTCGGTCATTCTAATTTAGTGATATCCATATACCATTTGCCTACACCAATACAGGATGTCTGGACTCACTTTGTTCTTGATCTACATCGAAGATCTACTTCAGCCCCTTCGTTCGCCGTGTGCGCTGTTTTCGGAAGACCTAACGACTTGAAGTAACCCCGACGACTGCGGTCTAACTCTGCAAGACCCCAAGCGCCTGTTCATGTGGTCCGCATGATTTCGCCTTTCGGTCAACCCAAACAAGTCAGCATTCCTGAGGCCAAGGAACAGTAGTGACGGCCAACCGCTTCATCACATGCTTCCCATGAAGGACTTATGTGTAATATTACGCTGCGTTTTGAAGTCCGTGGACAGCACAATCAGGCTATATCATAGTGGACTGCGCATGCTCTAAGCGCATAGACGCAGCTTCTGTACTTAGTCTGAAGAGGCTGCTACGTGTCTCTTCCTCATGATAGCACCAGTTCTAGAATGCCACGGTGAGTGTGCACCCCCTTCTGTCCGACTACCCGAGGTGCTGCGCAGATCGAACAAGTCGAACAATTCGCTACGAAGCTTATCCCGAGTTTACTAGGATTGCCGTACGAAGACCAGTGCATGAAATAAGTAAACTACAACTTGTTCTATCGTTGGGTCCGAGTCGAATTGATCGTGACCTACTGGATATTACATTTCAATGACTTCCTTATGATGAGGCAGCTGCTCCACTTGCAAAATTCACGTAGTACACGCGAGTGACCACTGTGCGTACAGGCTGCCAGGGCATGTAGTAGACGAAAACTCAGTGTGGAGCCTCGAAAAATTGTTTGAAGTAGCTTCTCCAAAGTTAGATTCCGATAGCCGTTACTCACCGACGATGTCATCTCGAATTTGTGTCCCAGTTTACTATGAGTAAGTTGTTGTTTGCAATATCACATGGGAAGTTAAAAAATGATCAGATTGTTGGCAGCTTATGAAAAGTATTTTTTTTAACCTTGTTAATAGTATTTTGAAGTTGCGCATAGTTCAATTTCTACTTGCTCCCATAATACAGTCTTCAGCATCCAGTGTGCAGTAATACTACCGAAAGGAGGGTGTGCTATAGGTAACACACCAGATGGAGCATCACTGCATCTATTTGTATTTCGCTTTATTAGAGGCGTCGGCTGTATTCCACCTGCCGATCACTCAGAGAGCAAGTGATAATCTTCTGGTTGTATCACACTCTGTATCACCTCTGCATTATCCGTAAATGATTCATATTGTATACTAGCCGTAATGTTTGTTTAGTGCCACTGGAACCATTTCAACTGATCCATCGTCGTAGTGATTTGGCACAATACGTCCACGGATTGACCAGTAAATGATGTCATCTAACCACCTAATTCATAGTGCTCATTTTCTGTTTACCCAAGCACATGGTGCAATGGGGTCCAATAACTGACTTGTAAAGGTGGCATTAAACGTGACACACAAATTAGGCATCGGACGGTAGTGAAGGCTAAGTTTAGACCATGGTTATAACCTAAACATGTCAGTTGCTGATTGTAACTCACTTTGCGTTCCGAGACCAAAAATGTTTCATCAAGCGTTTCACAGGTTTCATCTAAACTTCTTTTAGAATGCAAAGAGAAACGCCTTATTCGGACAGTTGGGTCTACAAATAAGGCAGAGCAATGCCAAAGTTTTAGAAACCGCAAAGCTATAGCTGATTTTGTTAGGCAAAATGCGCACTGTAAACTCTAGTGAAATAAGAATAAACAGTCGAAGATTAACAAAACATGTGACTCGCATAGGAACTTAATGTGTTCAGTATGAGAGATGCAAACATTGCCATGCTTTCGTATACATATAGCAGCCTCGTTCTACTATCAAAAATCGTTACAGCATAGTATTGCATAATGACAGAATATTAGCCATCTCGGTGATAAGCAAACAGACTACCAGAGCAACAACGTATTAGTTATCCATTCGAGTTTCTAACCGCTAACAGGCGTGTTAAGTTTATATTTGAACTCCCCGAGTAGCACTTTGAAATGCTCACTGTGAATGGCGACAATATTACCCTTGATTTTACTTATGGATACGAGCAAATTGAGATAAACATTATTTCACCTGTCCATTGAGTTACAATCAGAACTTGCTGTATTTGCAGACACATCAAAGATTCTGTTTTTGTGTTATTCTATTAGTGATCTCTGTTACTACCTCCATTCAGTTTAGCTGTAGACGAAGTACAGCTTTTGCCAAGATTCCATCCGTAACTGATAACATAAAGCTATTTTAAAACAGACTATATCAACTCGATCGGTTGCAGTTCATTAAGGTCCTTTCAGTTAATAAACTAGTAGGAAGTGGCGAAAAAATGCTTTCCTTATACCAAATTATTTCCAAACATAGTCCTGAATAGGGCTATGATAAGGACGTCGCGAATGCAGAACAGATCGCTCAGTTTTGGTTAGGTAGTTCAAACTTCGTCAGGGTGGGTTTGTAAGCGCTTTGTGTAAAGTCATTCTTTAAGCGGAAGCCATTTTCCGTATAATCCGGTATCTATTTCCCTGAATGATTTAAGTAAGGAGACCGCAAAACCGCATGGTATAGAAAGCATGACGCATTTACTCACGGGTTAAGGAATAACTCAACCCATGAACTAGCACTTCTGTCAACACTTATTTTCATAATAGACCAACACACTACTCGCGCGGGGCGGAAAGATTGCAAAGTTGGCATTTATCATGTATACCTGATCACTTACCTGAAAATAAACCTACAACGTAACACGGGTACTACAAATTCTGTGGAAAATTACTTAATGTGCGAGAGCTTTCCAACAGAATGCTTCTTAATATTAACCTCATTTCCATGCATTGCATGATATCAGCATTTCAATCCCTGTAGTTGCCAAATATAAACTATGTTGGCTATCTTGCAATTTTTATGCAAACAGAGGTTTTTACCAACTATACAAAGGCAGAGCGATAAGTTTCCGGATACTCAATACACAGCTTAGGCGTATATGACTTGGAAAGAGAAATATGAAATGTAATCCATACAGTATATTGCACGATGAGTTCGACAGTGTTTTCCGCAGCCAAGCACAGCTCACAAATTACAAGGGTCGATATACCCTGGCTGAAAGTAAGGAACTTGCTCGGTCACTGGTGGGCGTTGCATTTCTATGACTACAAATGTGGTTTAAAACAGCAGCAGTGTGTTGGTCGACTGCTAGCCGTGTTTGGTGATCATGCGCCCCAAGAACCAACATGTTTGAGCAATTTACGGAATCCAAGCATTGCACGCGGTCTCTAGATGATGAGGCACGGTGTAGTCGATATGTGGAGGTCACCACCGCGGACAACATTGCCGCTTTGCAAGCCATGTTGGAGGAGGAGGACGCGCGAGTGACTGTGGTGCTGCTAGGGAAAGTCATCGGGATGGCATCGGGAGCAATCCGCACAATCCTACATGAGATCATCGGCCTCAGATAGGTTCGCGCACACTGGGTACCTCAGGAGCTCATTGAGGACCAGAAAACAGCTCTGGTGAACTGGTGCCGCACCATGCTTGCTAGGTTTTATGGTGGACATTCCGATGCTGTTTGGGAGATCCTCAGTGATGATGAGACTTAGGCGTACAGTTTCGACACAGATACCCACAATCGGCTCGGTGGACGGCCGTTGGTGGAGTGCCGCCTCAGAAATTCCGGCGTGAGCGCAGTGTAGCCAAGCAGACGGTTTCTGTGCTTTTGGCCAAGACCGGTCATGTGGCTAAGTTACCGCTCGTACGGCAACACACAGTTACCGCAGACTGGTTTACCACCCGCTGCAGCCTGATGTCGTCCAAGCACAAGAACACCAGGGACCTCTTTGTAACATAGCAATGTGGTTGCACAAAGGTCCCGCGTCGTCGCAGGCCTTCTGGATAGAGAAGACATACAGGAGGTTAAGCACCCACCCTAAAGTCCAGACATGGATCTGCGTGACAAATTTTGATCCCAGCTGCCAAGCGCATGATGAATGGAATTAGTTACGAGTCTCCAGAAGTTGCGGTAGAAGTATTTAATGAGCTGTTTTTAGGGTTACCCGCTTAGGCACGGTCTAACTGCTTCTCCAAATGTTTTGAGCGCATGCAACTGTGCAAGGACGCTGGTATAGAGTACTTCTAGAGAATTTAAGCCTTATTTTGTTGTAAAAAATAAGTTGTGTACATCCAGAAAGTTATTGCTCTACCCTCGTATAATGCTAGTATAAACACCAGAACATTTATCACAACAGTCCGCACTAACGTTCGACACGTATAATCGTTCCTCAGAACCAATCAGTCACTTTCTCGGTCTTCTAATTCTCACCCTCATTATCATAGTTGATTTGTCATACTGGTAAACGGGTACGCAAGAGGGTTCTGCTATAACTGCTGGGCTGAAAGACGTTGGTGTTGGAAAAGAACATTATGTTGGTTAAAGGCTAACTCGGCTGACTTTCGTCGCAACACAATGGTGTCTTTCGTTTTTCCTATGACTCGTTTGGAACTTTGTGGAACTCCGATCAGGAAATATGGATGCGATAGCCAGATTTCAGCCGAGTCGGTATTAGCGTCAAACGCAAATGAGCGGGTAGGGACCATAACTATAATTTGAATAGTGGGTCACATCCCATTAAACGATATGGCTTTGCAGGAACAAATTTACTAGAAGTATCTTGCGCAGGTAGTAAATCACACATATTTCGCATAATATATAAGTGTTGCATGTAGTACTGCGTCAAAAATGCTTTACATTCCAACACATGTAAGCTGTTCTCCGACCCAGTCTCTTGCACTTGAGATCTGCATTGTTTAATGTCGATAGTTAGCAGACAAATTGTCCCGACTGGACATGATGAAACCGCTCAGTTACTTTAATGATTACAATGCTGTGTTGTGTACTCGAAGGTGCTAAGTAACCCCAATGACTCAATGAAACACGACAGGATGGCGGCAATTAAGGTTAAAAGCAATTGCCAACATAGTGACAGCTTCTGTCCTCGTCAATCCAAACAGAAGCAATATCAGTTTGGAGTCATGATTTCCGAACGTATTAAGCGCCGATACCCATCGCAATAAGGCTGGACCTTACTGTGGTGCGATGGTTTTCTGGCTTCAGAGATTCACGGAGCTATGCTGAGTGGTGCTTTTCACCTTCAGGGCCACTCGTACCAGATTGGTCAGTGATTCGAGGCAGAAAAACTCAGCCTCCTCTTCCTCCAGTTTGCGGGTTGGAATGAGGGTGACCCTCTATTCCTTAAAACAGACTCCTTGTAGCCCAACGCCAAACCCGCTGCCTTGCAGTCAGGCTTTTGAACCAAAGGCTTTGGTTGAGAACACTTATGGTTCTCCTGTTTAGACCTGGGAAACCTGACAGTATGCTGCCCACGTCATACAACGAATTTCTCTTCAAATAGTTTCTTGATGCTCTGGTCACGCACAGAGGAAAATCAACGGTACCCATCTGCTGCATGGAACAGGGTGAATAGGGCTTTGGATGCTACTGCTCAAGCCTTCCTGTCTTCTTATTCCCCATCTTACGCTTTTTCACTCTTACCGACTCGTTCCAGCTTCAATTTTATCGACACTGTTTTCAACCCCCAATTCTTCGCCCTCTCCACCTTGCTTTGCTAGGCTTTACCTTTTAGTTTCAACTCACATGTGAACGCGGAGCTTCATTCCTACGCTGTCGACAAGCCCGTGTCCAAGCATCGGCCAAGCCCGTGTCCAAGCATCGGCCAAGCCCAGTTTATCGGCTTCCATTTTGAGCCCTCGATCGTCCTTCAGATTGACGTACCTCAATGTACACACATTGCTACAGATTTGCGGCACAGTAGCTGAGGTGTTTTCCACCTCTAGCTAACGTGTATGCTAATAGTGATGAAGCGCGGATACCACGTAGCCTTGATACGATAAGCTTTCGGCGCTAAACTTCCTACCATAGTGCCGATCCGGTTAACAGAGTGCGTTGTCACTTCATTGCTGTGAGCCTCAGTATTATGTGTGTCCCCTTACCTTTACGTAGACTGGAAGTTTATGCACAAACTCTTGTTTGGTAATACAGGGCATCTGATATTTTGTGCAGTTTGGCCTAATTGTCTGCGCCCTTGGCTGGTTGCTTAGGCATCCTTTCGCTTCAAAATAGGCGACAGCTTCGCCAAGTAATAAATTAAGTCATCAGTTGGGTGTCATTTCAATGTCATTCTACTTCGCCACATTCCAATGTCCGGAGACCTAAAGTATCGACTGTATGTAGCTGCCTCATTGGTACAAATCTTCCTGTCTCGTAGACAAATGGGTCGATAATGCTGTTTGTATAGAACAAATGTTCTGGTTTTTTAGAGGTACTCTGAACTACTACAATTCATCTCATGGTGTTGACGGACCATTATCCTTCAGAACTGCATTTGAAAAGGTCTAGCAGTTTGGTGCACCGTAATGGTTTATGAAAGGACGCAAGTTTGATTTGGTTAATTGAATTCTCAAAATATGTGTACTGTTGTAAGATCGTGTGCTAAGCATCACATTTAATTTTACGATTAAATATTCCCTTACTTTCGTCGAGTTGCCACATGCATCAGCGCTATAGCCTGTTTCAAGCAGAACCACATCACTTTGTGCTAACTATAAGTTCGTCTCTTTTGCCTAATCAAGGTTTCTTCACCGCTGTGTTTCACATAAGTGATGAAACCGTGGGACTGCAGCTACTGGCTAGTTTTAGACAATTTGAAGATAGTTGCAGATCAGCTTGCTGCATGTCTAAGGCGTTGGCAACTAAGCTAACAAATGTTGCGAAGTTATGACAGCTGCTAAGAACGTAACCGAACATTCTGACTTCTAGGTACCATACGAATACCCTTGCAAACGTTTGAATAAAAAATGCATTCTGCTTTAGATAAGATTTTTACGACAATCTTTTAATAATATACCATAACTGTTGGGAAAAACCCCAGAGTTTGGCATTTTGCAGTATGCATACCCAGCATTTCTCCCTGGGACCAGTGATGGCACCATTTTCTACTCGTCGTTTAGGACGATTTAGTGTTTAATCAGCTTGCAATTAAAACCAACATAACTTCCCAACAACCACTACATATGTTGATTTGAAATGTAAACAACTATGTGAGGATTGTTATTCTGTATTTGATCAGTAAGGTTAAAGCATGTCATAGAATGCAATGTTGTGGCGCGTAATGCCAAAGGTTTTTCCTGATTCACTTTTCGAAATGTCTGAAGCGGAATTCATATTGAATTACGGCCATCAAGAATGTTGCGTGTTGCTTTATGAGCAGTCAAAACCTACTTCAGTCCAAATGTCATTACGTGGAAAAAGACAGACTGCGTCGCATTTTTCATGCAGAACTTGGCTTCATTATCGCTAAATGTTCAATCGCGGTAAGTAAAACAAGAAGCAACCATTAAACTAATCGTTCGAAACTTGATCATATGGTGCATTGGTTATGTTTAAAAATCCTGTTTCACGACGCTGACGCAAATAATAATCACAAACGCGAAGATTAGACGAGCAGGTCAGTAGCGCATTAGTATAGAAAGCAGCGTCATTATCTCTACTTGAATGGTTCAGTAAACTGGCGTAATTCATCTTTACGAATAAGAGAAAAATGATATTCAGAAGTGAGCATACGCGTTCCGTTTACAGCGGTTGATAGCCTAGGAAGAAAGGTGTCAGACAGACAACACGAAACTACATTTCCCATTTTTCACCCAGGTGTTCTTCATCTCGGAATTCCAGACAAGGATGCAACCGGTGAACTGGTGTAGTACTGAGAACGAGAGGAGATAAATTTGGCTGTGCTTACTTACTAGTCCAGAATTAGTTTCTTTTGACGGATGGCTTCTGTCACAAAACAGTCGAGAAAGTTTATCAGTGCACCATGTATAAAAAGCGAACTGCGTTAGTTTGTCTGAGATATATAGAAGGGGTTACAAGCCATGCAAGTGCTTGAACAAATTAGTATAAACGTAGCTGTCAGATCTTTTGAACTTAGTTACAAACTAAGTACCGGGATTTTGTTGCACGGAATCAAGATGCTTTCGCGTCGCTGGCCGTGTGCTTGAAAAAGTTCAATCGACTTGATGCTAGTAGGCTAAATATGCGCAAATTTCAAATGGGCCCCTTAGTGCTTAGGCGGAGAGCCCTCCTTTGGCAGGTTTTGATTTCGCATGTTATACTACAGTGTTATACTAGAATATTATACTACATGTTATACTACATCACTATATAATCAGTATATTCGGAATAACGAATTAAATGTTACAACACAACTTAATGGTACTCCACATAGAAAAGTATCTATGAGGTATCCTTTCAGTCTATCTTTCGTCTAAACGTGAATGAACAGCGCCTCCGTCTGTCATCAAATTGCACATTGTGAACTGACCTGACAACAACACCAATGAGTCGGCCGCCCACAGCCGCGAAATAGTGGCTCGTTTACCTTAGCAACTGGTTCGGTTCCCTTATTGTTGTCTTAACGACAAACCGTCACTTAATGTTACTCACAAGAACGATATAAAAGTCGTAGTTGATTGTGAATTGGGATACATTTTGCTATTAAATTGGTGAGTTTGACTTTTGCTAGTGGGAAAATAAGTGTTTTCGGCATTTAGCCAGAAATGAAGAGTATAAAGTTTGAGTTTAACTGCCAAAGATGAAGCTAAAGATTTTCTAAAAGATTTTAACTTTTAGGTAAATAAAACATAAAGCGCACATCAGTAAACTTAATTAAGTATTTAATGTCCTGAACTAACTGCTTCAAGTAGGCTGCCAACTCTTCACATATTTTGACCAGTCGATGCGTAGCAGACTTATGTCCCAACACTTATGACCAACTTATGACCCAACTTATGATCAACGCAGAGTTCTCAGCTTTTGGAAGAGTTACCAATGTGCACTTGTTATAATCCTCGTAGATGTCGTTGATAGTAAAGATGATAGAAACGCTGCACTGCCATTCCGCTTATTTTGTCTCCTGTATCTTTTTGGGGGAAGAAAAACAGATAGAAAGGCTCAATGCCGTGAAGTTTTGCGCCAACTTAATGGTAACAAAACAGGGAGCCTCAAAGGTCTCACAAAGTGTACTCGATCGATTGTCGAACAAGCGGAAGCTGTAAGTCGCTTTTCTTCTCTTAGCAACATTAGTTTCAATGACTTAACACTGACTGCTCATCATCATACGATAAGAACCAGTCAGGGCTGACATGCGAAATTCAAATATGTTGAAAATGCTTATTTATCTGCAATCGGAAACCAAGCAAGCTTTTTAATGATCGTAGCGAACATAAACAAGTGTTTAATTTTGATAGCTTTAGAATACGCATCGACCTTGCATAATCTTTCATTATGGCTAGCTTCCTCCATTGGGAAAAGTATTTCCTCAGGCCTGTTGAACCAGTACATTCTTGGCCTGGCTTTTATAATGATTGTGGGAAATAACCCGAGTCAGTAGATAATTTAAGTCACAGTTCAATTAGTAAAGGGGTCGTAACAGTGCTAAGTCAAACTTGAAAACTTCTCAACAGATTCGCCTGACGGCCATTCTTATATTAGTAAAAAATATTCTTATTGTTAGGTCATGTTTACGTACACGTTGCGTCAGTGAGTTGTGACTCGCAGTCTCAAGGTGGAGGGCAGTTTATACTGAACTGAACCTTAGTCAATTCAATCAGTGCACTCATAACTGTTACAGAAAGTAGAACTCGGGTGTTGCAAGTCATTAAACACCGAACAATACGAAGCGTTTCGATTTTATTTGATCATATTAGGTAGAGCTAACAGGTGTCGAACCCAGAGAAATACGGCATTCAGCAAACATCCCAATGCACCTGGGTTAGGGGCTTGCTATCTACATCATTTTCAACAGTACCAGGTCAGCCATCTGGACTGCCGCTACGCGGCCTTACAAGCATGGTGGCTTAGTGATTGAAGATTAATAACAGGGAGAGAAAGGGGACCTAGCGCAGAACTTGAGCGCCTTAAACAAACATTCAGGATCAAGGCGCCTTCACCTTGTGTCAAAAACAACGTCATAAATGGTTGGCTATTGTCCAAAAATAAGGCGGCATTAAAGAGATAGCCTACTTGCAGCTTTCACCGCCCCGCGTCATAAGCGACTATTACCACGCGTATAACTCAGCAGCAAACAAGCTTTAAACAGGCAGTCCGAATAGGAGACAGCAGCGACGCGCCACTGGTGCCGATTGTGAGCCATGTCTAGTAACCTTCAGAGAAAGCACAAAGCGCTATACTTGGACTCCAGGCTGGAAGACGAGACGGACCGACAGCACCGAGTTTGGTCGTCCAAGACTTCATTGCTTTCCGCCAAGTTAACTGTACAGAGAAGTAGTAGGGAGAGTTGAATTGTATACGTAGAAAATCGTTACATCTAAACTCACTCAGACAGCCATCACACGCTCGGAAAAGCACTGTACGCGCGTTTCATCCTTTCGGGAATCGTCAGCAGGGCGCATTCCATCGGAACCTGGTGGGGCTCGAACCCGCAACTCGACTGTTGCCAGTCCGTGGTTGAAACAACTGAGCTACGAGGGACGACAACAACCATCGTGAATAGATTAGTAGATGTGATGTAGTCCTCCTCGGTAAACAGTGACCGGGAATACGTATTAAGTGCTCAAGCCAACGTAGCTTATTCAATGGTATCTGTTGTTCTAAAGGACTAACATTGTCGCTGTCTAGCACCCACCTACGCACATCATCGTTGCGGACATGCTGGTGCCACCCGGCACAATCAGCGCTCAGGAGACAACGATGACCAGAGACTTGAATGTACTGCATTCCCTGAGATAGAAGTGTCCAATTCTCATCCCCATACAGCAGGACCGTCTCTAATGTGGACTAGTAAACACGGTCTTTCAGACCGGGGGAAATCTTTTTCTAACTCCGCAAACGTCGCAAGTTCAAGAAGGCAGCTATAGCATTTGCAATATTTTAACTGACTTCGGTCGTTATTTACCCGTCGTTACTGATGCAACTGTCAAGTGAAGTGGTCAATGATCTAGAATTCCTTGCCATCAAGGGTCGAGGGATCGTCAGGTAGCTGGTGTTTCTGAAACATTATCTTGCGCTGTGAAGCTGCGAAACGTATGCAAGTTGATGGGACAACGCTATAGATGTCATTCAGGATTGACTGGACGGCCCCAATTTCACTGATTGGCGGAATGATATCGTTTGCGTAATCAAGAGCAACTAGTTTTCCATCAGGCAGCACCACAACGCTTGCATCATGAGGCTCCGTAAAGGACCACACCATAATGGACGATACAGCGAAGTTGAACTAAAATGCAGGAATTGAGCAACCCACGTGAAGGCTAGTTGTTGTCGAAAAGATATCCGACAGGTCACCGCAGTCACTGACGCGGCCTGTCGTGTTCGAGTACAAGGTAAGTAACATGTTCAGATATTTCGTAGGGATAACTTTCAGTGCAAGTATTGCAAACAGAACTGTTCGACTGAGTCGAGTGCGGTCTTGAAGTCGCGGAACAGACCTATTTTCATTCTGCGGTACTGATGGCGCTGCTCTAGCACCCGTCGCAGAGTGAATATGTGGTCCATACAGCCCCGCCTGCTATCTTCACTCGATGGGATCAAATGAGATCCAAACGCTTCTTGTTTTGTATTGCTTTCGAGCGGACAACTACCAGATTCTACTCGCTTCAACCAGTGTGCTTCTTGTTATTGATTCTGATGATGATTGTTTAACGTTAGATCTCCAACCTTGGTTCATACGCCGACACTGTTCATAGTGACAGGATTATTATATCACCCGAAGCGTTTGTTAGCTTCACTCGATCTATTCACTCCACTCAGATTGTGGCTCTGTGACTGGTGGTGGTCGCATGGCAGTGAAGCGCCGTTACGGTGTACAGCTGACACATTATTTTTTATTTTACTTTAACGGAATTTCCACCTTATCGCAGGCCATTTCGTGTCTAGACTCTAGCACTGCACTGCTACCGAAAAAGCATGTCATGAGTGATTTTATTTAGGCTCGTTTCGCGTTTAACGCGGAACGTGCACCTTGTGCTATACTATACTTGGTCGACGTCACCTTTTGAATAATCTCTAAAACTAATTACGCTGGTGTAAGTCGTCCACCCTTCTATCGAAATTGTGTCATTCCAATGCATCATTGTCAAACAGAGCGGTTGACCTCTTCGGAAAACCACTGTTGTCTTCGCCCTATTTGCATGCATCCAACAGCCTCAGAATCTTCTTCTTTTTAATGGATTCCCATAGTTCCAACCAACTCCATCTCATGTAGTGAAGGTGGGCTTAAGGCTCTCCACGACTGTCATCGCACTAGCTACCTCTGATAGCACTTAAATCTTTCACTGGCCCTTTCAGGGCAGTCCTGCTTTCCTGTCCTCTTTCATTTGGCACAATGCCAATTACATCCATAAAAATAACTGTAATGACTATGTACGTCGGTCAAACTGCAAGAGTGCTGTGCACAAAGATAACAGAGCATTACAGGTAAGTTGCGGTTTCTTCGTTAGACGGGCCTGGGTAAATGGACCTACTAAGAAATTCAGCGGTTGCAGTCCGCAAGCTAGTCTCTGGAAACGAAATCAACTGGGACAATGTTGACAGGATAAGGAGATGAGTACGAGCAGTAAACGAAGGATTAATTGCCGAGGCGGCGGAAATAGTCAAGGCTACTAACCACCTGGAGATAGTCGACGGGTGAAATTAGCAAACGCATGACGAGCGGACCAAATTTGAAGCATGAACCTGGGGTAATCGTTATTGGAATCAACACCTTAGGTGTGAATAACGAGTTGCGCGAATCAACCACGACTGTTTCATCCCCGTCACACTACTACAATGATCATTTGGCCTTGTGAATAGTACCATAATTATCCAGCTATCATTGTCATTGCTAGCAATTATCACCCTAATTCGCTGTGAAAACTGATGACGTTATGAACCGTTTCATCTGGTGTAAGGAAGCCATTGACTCAAGTACAGAACGTATCCATTAAAAACTATATACTACTGGTTGGCGTTCTAGACATCCCGCCAGTTTGAGTTCCCAGTGGGTTTAGAACTTATCCCGAAATATAGAAGAGGGAATGCTGTTGAGCTTGTGACTACAAGTAATAATGTACAGGCTGTGTTAAGCTTCTTACTATGTAGCGGCTACAAAACGAGCGTGCACTCAACGCTTCACCGAACTTGGGACAACGCATAATTGTGTCACAGTCACGAGATTTACTATATCAAAGGATACCAATTTGCTAGTGCTACACGGCATAGGGCATGTGTGGTAGTCAGCGAAGACGGAATCTGACAACACTTAAGGTCTGATGCAAAATTGGGCTCAAATGTATCTCATTGGGGGACCGTGCATTGTGATCTCCGTTGCGTCTGAGACATTGAAGAACAAGGACTTTTGAGCTAAAAATCACTCAAAACAAGTGCCCCTCTTTTTGGACTGACTCCCATTCCCGCTTGGTGTGTACTCCAGCTTCCCTAAACTAATGGATTACATTTGACTATTAACCAATGTCTATGGGAAACATGCCGTAACCATAATCGACGAACAACTATGCCAGAACCGCTTACGATATATCAGTCAAATATACACAATTGCTTTGTTAACGTTGAACAGCTTAGGAAGCTGTACATCTCTCATTGTTTATGATCCGCTACCAAATGAACTTGCCGAACTGCAATACATGATTACCATACGACCCCAGACATTGTGTCTTGAACCAGATTTAACTGTAGCAAATGCATAATGAGGCCGCATAACTTGTGGTTCCATAGTAACCGGTAGAACCGATCGAAACGTCCATGTGTGGCAGGACGAAGTATAGATGAAAGGCTCATAGTGAAATGCTAAATGATTCCCCAAGTCATGAATGGCATGTAAGGTCTATAATTGTTGCAAAAGTTCCATCTAGAAAATCATCGACGCAGCCAGGACTACAAGGCCAAGAGATATGAGAACAAATGCTCTTGAATGAAGCCAGAATTTACTACATACTGACCCAGATAATAATTTCGGCTACGGTTTTATCTTGCGTATGAAAATGTTAAAACACTATCCTTATTGAAATATTCTGGCTCATTCCGACAGCAGCGAATCGGTGTACCGAATATTTAAAAAGTTGCACAAGTTAGCTGCTTGCCTTAATGCGCTTTTTCTAGAGTGCTTTGTTACTGTTTTTTTTCTATCCATTTTATTGCAGATGAATACTGCTATGCAACTGCTTTTCCCGCACATATTTCTCCTCATATTTTCCGCGATGACAGTCAGTGCATCTCCATTCATGGACGGGTTATTTGACGTATTTAATCAAGTGAGTGACACTGGAGATGATGTGGCACATTTAAGCGTCGATCGTCCTTTCGATGGTGAGCAAAGGTCAAAGGCAAATATCGGATTTTCAGGTGGAATGAAAGAAAGGAACTTGAAGGATGTTAAGACAAATAATGGGAAGAAGTTAGGAGAACATCTTGGTGGGCGGGCTAAAAACCTTGAAGGCTATCACCTTACACCCCAAAGAAAAGATGACCGACTTCCTACAGTGACAGAGCAGCGGGACTCACCTCAGCACAGACATTACGGCGCTCAGTTCGACTCGCAGCGTAGCAAACATCCCTCCGCCAGTAATCCAGAGATAATGAGTAATGCTGGTCAAGCGCCAGTTTTGAGCTCGCAAGTGACGGAGCATGGAGGTCATTTAAAAAAACAGCAATCTCCGTTTAGAGGGTTCAACTGGTTAGACGGATTAATGTTTAATGACTTGAAGAAACTGGCAGATCGGGACTCTGGAGTCAAAGAACAAATGTCCGAGTGACTTGCTGACTCTGACATTGACTTATCTATGGTCAATTAACCCCAAAGACAAAGTATACCATTACATGTAATTCAAACGTGGCGTACAAAATACAGATATGCGCTAAGCGTAGTTGCAGTGTCTTATCTTGTGAAGCTTAGCCCTTGCGCTTGCGACGATTTCATTGAAGGAGTAATCTTTGATTCTCTGCGCTTTTTGGTTAGGAACCTAATTCGGTGGTCGAATTTGTCCAATAATCCATACCGGATATGGGAACGCTAATAAAACCGTAATAGTGAAAATAAGCTGCGCAGTCTTTCAGTGTGGTGCGTTGAAGCGTTAAGAACAGAGTCGTCATTTTCCGCATTGCACTAGACCGAAGATTTCGCACAAATCTGTCCACCTGGAAGAGCGCAAAATGCCCATTAGTACCAGGATTGGTAGCCCAAAATGGGAATGTTTGATTTCAAATTGGCCCATATCAGACGTCGGAAAGTATCTTGTTCCCGTCAAAGATTGTTATTCCAAGTTGTCCAAAGAACGACACCATCATACCATTTCTTTCAGTAATCATATACTATGACATCAGGTAAGCCACTGGTGTGTGAATCCCGTTGTGCTCTCAATCAACTGTGTGGAACACAGCCGTAGCATTATGGAATGGCTGCAATAAATTGTGGAGTCTACCGAGTGGACTGCAAGATTAAATCAGCAGTAAACAGCGCCATTCGCCAAGGCTACACCAGCGTGCTTAACATTTCACCCAAATTACTCCTGTGAGCAATTGTTCCATGGATATGTTGCTACTAATTCTGAAAGTCCCACAGAACACCGGGGCTCTTGGGTAGAGTGCACTTATGGTTTCACCAAGCTCCTGCCAATATGGATACGCCAGTACATTTTGTCTAACTTAAAGACGGATGTACAATCCATTGTGAACTTAGATATCTATACGCACTTTTACATCTAGGCTCCACGATGAAAATGGAAACTGAATGGGAGATTGACATATGGCTTCAAGGTACAGTTATATTCATTCTTCCAGTTTATAATTAACTGAAGCATTTCCCTAATCACTGGCATGGGCGTGTCACATGTAGTGTATCTTGTGGTGCGATTCCTTCTCTCTAATTCAGATGATGGATATGAATGATGAAGGAATATGAGTTGGCTGCGAGTAAATCGTGGCTGTAACTGCTTGGCATAGTAATACTGGTGTACTCTGCATACGAGGCTTGTAGATTAAGCTGGGGGTGGCACGCCACATGCCTTCTTTGATCCCTTTGTGTGTACAGAGTTCCTAATTTGATCGTAATCCCCGTGTTGGGTAAACTTGGGAATGGACTCCCCTCATCTTATCGACAAATGTTAGGAGAATTATCATAGCCTTTTTGGTAACTAACACCACAGTGAGTTCCTAAATTTCATCAAACATAACAATTTCGAATGCACTCTCCTGTATCCGATTTTGAAAAAGTATGAGTAGGCTTTGTCGCCGCCTCCAGAAACTTAGCCACTGAACGAAAATGAGGGGCCACCAGCAGAAGCTATTGATCTAATACTGGTGACCGAAATGCAGCCAGAATTTTCTCTCGGAATTAATTTGTGGTGATACGCTTCTCTAACTTTGGTCATTTCTTTGCCCAGTTCATTCTTTTTAAAGTATGACTGGATGCTGCGTCCAGTGACATGACTTTCATTTATCGAGTGGCGACAAAGCGCAAACAAACAGCTCACTTATCCGTCCCACGGTATTAGGATAGACGAACTTGTGTGTACTGTGGCTCATTGCTATTGAAAAGACCATCCTCGCGGAACTTGGCATCTTCTACTCAAAGTGTCAGCGAAAAACTACTGACTGATGACCCAAGCTTTGTCGATAAGGCTTGTACTGTTGCGCACGATTCCCACATTCATCAGTTGAAAAACATATATCCAATAACAGTCCCTTATTCTTAGTTCTGAGTTGCATTCTTGTGTTTCTGTGGTAACTTTCGTGGGCATCAACAAAACCGATTTACTTGTTGGGGTTCATAAACATGTGGATGGTGATGAACCGACCTCCTTGAAAATGAGGCGACAGATGAGTACCAATGCCTTACTTTTGTATCTGACAAGTTTATTGCCTCTGGATAGTTCCAAATGAAAAGTAGCATCTTATACAAATTATTCAAAATGTAACAATGCTGCGTTCTTAATATGGAGTACAAAAAGCCGAACAATTTCCATTGGCATAAGTTCGTTTACGCTAATGTACACGTAACACATTTGTCTCTAATTATCTCAACGAAGCTTTGGACTAAGGATGTCTTTTTACCCATTTCTAAATGAGTGCAGAACGAAGTTCCCTAAATACTTAGGAAATACCAGGAGATTGCTAGCTTTCATTCGCGGTGTTCTCAATTAACAGCCGTTTGTAAATTTTCCTGCGCATTATAGAGAGCGATACTGTCCACTCGTATCAGCACTGCGCCCGCGTAGTTGCAACAGTGGATAATCCTGAAATTGTTATTAATCTGGAGTTGATAGGTTTGGACAGCGAGTCGTTAGCATGACGAGCTAACTAATCTTATACACCTGTAACGACGTGATTTTGCTTGGCCTTATCTACCGCACGTTTACATCCTTCAAAACAGTCCGCAGCTAGCAACCAGGTAAACTAATGGGCTACTAAGCAGACGTCTCGAGAGTCTTTTGGTCAGGAGGTAAAAGGAATGTAATTGATATCGTGTTTTGCTAAGAAACGTTGTTAGGCTGTCAGTTCAGATTACTTTGACAATGCGTACCAATTTATTAAAATAGCCTCCTCTGTTTAGACGAATTAATTCGTCAGTCAGGCAGTTGGGGCTGACCAAGTGCAGATTTCAGCTTATGGAATTCTTTCTGATATTTGAAAACCGTTCTGACTTGTGTTATCTAGCCCCATAGTAGCTATATTCGACGTTTGTATTCATACGTAACTAAGTGAGTCAGTACTTTATTAGGAAGAAAGCACAGTGGTAACGGTGATAAAAACCAGCCTTTGTAAGGTTTTATTATTTGTTACAAGTGAGAAATAAACTGTTCGGGTTTCTGTAAATACAGTCCCCGCACTTTTTAACTAGGTGTTGTTTGTATTCTACGTTTAAGGAGTGTATCACTTTTAAATTTACCTTCCTACAGGAGCAGAAACAACGCTAAACAAGTCGCTTAATATTTAATAAGCGACTTCGTCAACCAATCGGTTGAGTAAACATTGCCTTGCTCGTCATGAATGTCAAGTTCCTTTATTTTTAAAGCTGCGCTTTTTAGATAAATTGGTAAAACAATTTACGCTGAATTAATCTAACGTAAGCGGACACAACAAGACAATTTCTGCGACAATGATTATGACTTAGAAATACAAATTTTCGGACGGAAAAAATAAACTGCATGAAATGCACTTGTGCGTGCAATATAGGAACTTACCTGTGCCTCGACCATTTTCCATAATATTCTCGCCTGAGAAATCCATTAGTTCCAACGGATAACAGGGATGTAAGCGGTGACTGATGTATAACAATCCATTAGGTTCGCGAAATATCTGCACTGGCAGGAAATTAGCCAAATCGGCAAAATGCTCTAGTTCTTCCAATACCAAGGAGTGCCATTGTTCAGCGGCGTCATACAATTGCGGCTTTCAGTGGAACAATAAAGGATAGTCAACTGAGAAAATATTCAACACATGGGTTCTCTAGAACATTACAGAATGCCCTAAATGTTGCAGCAAGCGCGGAAAGCCGTAACAAATTCATGATGAGTGCATCAATGCACGTGAACAGGCTGATTAATAAAACGGATGCTCTAGGCGTTTCTTACCTGTTGGTGCACATATTTTGTTCAGTAATAGTCGGTTAGAACAACCCAGCGTTCCCTCATTGGGTTGCAGTCTAACCAATCGGTGTTGCTGTGCCACACAAGGGATTTACGGGCAACTTTTCTCACCCGATTGATTGTTGTTAGTATGGTAGGTTGGATCACATGCCATTGAACTAGACCCGTCAAGCTTCGTGCTCATTTTAGACAGCATTTTCAATTCATTTTGTCAATCTCAATGAAAGAAAGTATGACGAAAACGGTGCAAGTGCAATCAGGCGTTAAAGCTGGCGGAACTGCAAATCTTCTGATGGCAATCACCGCTGGACTGGACCTTGTTTATAACGCAACTCATCTATTTACCATTCCTTAGTAGGGTTTATGCCGTGACAAGTGAAAGACCTCCCACTGGCTCAATGATAGACGTCAAGCTGACATTTGTGTATACTGTGTTGCACCTGGTAATGGGCAGCTGTGCATTCCAGCATATATTTGGCAACCTCCAAACGCCCGCCGTATCAACGGGAGAGGAGATGATTTCCTCTCCTGTGGCTGTTGACAATGCGAGTTAAGAAAGGAAACTTGATAGGGTCCACAAAATAAAATGGTAATATGAGGATGGAATCGCATGAGATTGGAATCAAGTGGAAAGTTGTTTGAAGTAAGCGCATGAGGAGACAATCACATTGATTGGTGGCTAAACTAAAATCTGCTACTTGGTAAAGTTCACTTGTCTGGCCAATAAATCAGGCACTGTCATACGGGCATATGTCATCTGTCTACAACCGGTGCGATCTATTTGTGGATCATATGCACTAGCACTGTGACTTTGGTTCTTCGATTTAACTATTCAATCTGTTAGTACTGGGAATATGGTTGGTTTCAAAGGCAAAAATCATTCGACTAAAGACGTTCATGTTAAAAGAATTTTAGCTTGTTCCACTAGAATGGAACTTTATCAGTAGTACGGGCTAATCAACACTCAAGTATCTCGGGTTTTCCAATCTGGATCTCTTGAAGTCTGAACAAAATAATAAGAAGATCAATGCAAGATAACACCGTGCTGTATTACCTGAGCACTTACACACTGACAAAATATACAGTTCATATAAACAAGAAAACGATCGTTTTGAACTTTTTCTGATAGGAGAGCCTAAACTCACGGACAACAGATGGTTGAGTTGAAGGAGAGGTCAGAATCACCTACGATGAAGAAGAATAACGGGCACAACCTAAACAAACTGCAGGATTCCGGCGTTTTCCTCTCGATAGACAACTGGTCCTCAGTAGGGGACTGAAGGAATGCCCACCATTGACGAGCTCCAATAGGGCGAAACGCATCTGAAGCTTTCCGGATTGGGATTTAGCTATGTAACTTCTTGACTACTAGGTAGAATACCTTAAAATTTTAAAACTAAAATGTTCTGGCAAGTTTTCATAACGATGGATGACGCTGGCAGTTTGCATGCTGCTCCCTGTCTCGCTGCTTTTTGCACCATCATCTTAGCAATCCGCTATAATCAAACGAAAATGTCAGGGCGCCAAATTTTGCCAAGGCTGTGACCCTTTCACGATCCCAATTTCTGTGTACACAAGTAACTGGCATTAGCCTTGTAGCTTCAGTGTAGTACATTACCTTCGGCTCATATCAACCATTTGTTGATCTGTCACCCCGCTCAATTTTCTGACAAAATATGTAACCATGGTTTTATTCGCTGACTTAATATACATGTATTTGCAAATTGCTTATAAATGAAAGAAAAGCTCTGGAAAACCTAATAAGTTCAATCGCTAGACCTTTACTTAGCACAGTACCCATCTTGAGCTATCAGGAGCGTTGACGGCAGCTTCAGTTTAAGCCTCGGTGGTCGTGATGACTGAAACATACTCTGTCGCTCATGTATAAGCTCACAAACCAAATGAAAGACTGTCATCTGTGTACTTTCGATCCCTAACGTAACCTCACCCGAAGGCTTCGCAACAAGATTTGTATACAAATTGCGCTAAATCAGGTCAGCTATCTAATCTAACTTCTTCAGACACGTCGGATTGCGGAAGGCATGGTAAACAGGAGCAGTGTTGGACTGTTCTGCCTACTGACGACATTGCACGAGTTTCGGGGAGTTTGACACGCACTGCAAACGAGTAGGTGCCGAACAATACAGCTGGCAGGTAGCTTAGGGCCGCTCATCGCTAGGTCTCGCGGAACATGCACCATAATCCTTGTAGATAAACTTCACTCAGTTCTACCGATGTACATGCTACCGCATGTACAATTAAATTGGTTAACGCAGGAGGTGTTGACTTGAAGGAGAGTTTCATCTGGGTTGGATTGGTGCAGCAATTTTCTGATTTGCTGCAGTAGCACTAGCTCAACTGCGTAATAACACCTCTTTATGGATTGCCGTAGTCGGTAGCGAAACCTCTTGTCAGCTTGTTCTACTTTGAAAGGTAGGATGACGAACACCTTGTTGGGAATATCGGGTTGTTTCATCTTTCGAGGATTTTCCTGCTTATATCTTGCTTGATAATTACTAGGATATACATCATCGCGTAACGTGGATACACTGCGCTGCAGTTCACTCGTGACTGACTCTTTGGAATAGATTCGGCGCGCTCTCGTGAAGCAGGTGGGAATAAAGGGTCGCTTATAGTTCATCGGGCAGTAAATGTTAACGTTTATGTATTGTCCTGTCCAGCTGGGCTTGTGGTAAATCGGCCTTATTAGCCATCCATCTGGTCTTCTATGTAAGGAAACATCCGAGAAGTGCAACATCTCCCCCGACTCTCTTTCCATGGTGAAACTGCTCTCCGGATGACATTTGTTTAATTCTGCTAACATGCTCTAAGCCCTCCGTGCAGAGTCCATGACCACGAAAGTGACATCTAGCTGGCGGGCATACAACTGCACCATTTTTATAGTTCATCATAGCTGGTGTTTCTCTAAACGGCCCATGAAGGTATTTGCTAGAACAGGTCCAAGCAGGCTGCTCATCGCTACGCCTTTCATTTGCCGGTAGAAGTTACCATCAAAGTTAAACCGAACTTTAGTGCGGGTACGGATTAGGGTTTTTAAAAGGTGTGCTGGAAAAGCCAGCTTTCTCGTATGTGTACCTATGATATTCAATGTCTCCTTCAGAGGAAATTTTGTGCACAGTGAACCTAAGTCGAAGGATACCATGAATTTGTCATTCACATTTAGCTTCTGAATTTTGTCAACGAATTCCAACGCGTTTTTCCAGCTATGTACAGCCAACTAGGATCTGAAAGGCTCAATATCTTTGGCCAACCATCATGCTAGCTTCTGGTGCGACGCACCAACTACTGAGATAATCAGATGCAACGGGACCCCTACTATGTTAATATTCAGTAACCCGTACATGCGTGAGAGTTTCGAGCCACGAGGACGTAATTGCTGCATGGTTTTTGTGTCAATTAACCCTCCTTTACGTAATCTTCGCAGTGCAAGGACTATGAATCTTTCAATTTTTCAGTTCTATCGCGCCCTGAAAGATCACGAAGGAAGGATGTTCCAAAGAAGAAAGCATACATCACCCTAATTTAAAAAGGCCAGCAAACAGATAAAACGTTCTGCCACCGACTACGGCAATCCATAAAGAGGTGTTATTACGCAGCTGAGCTAGTGCTACTGCAGCAAATCAGAAAATTGCTGCACCAATCCAACCCAGATAAAACTCTCCTTCAAGTCAACACCTCCTGCGTTAACCAATTTAATTGTACATGCGGTAGCATGTACATTGGTAGAACTGAGTGAAGTTTATCTACGAGGATTATGGCGCATGTTCCGCGAGACCTAGCGATGAGCGGCCCTAAGCTACCTGCCAGCTGTATCGTTCGACACCTACTCGTTTGCAGTGCATGTCAAACTCCCCGAAACTCGTTCAATGTCGTCGGTAGGCAGAACAGTCCAGCACTGCTCCGGTTTGCCGTGGCTTCCTGAATCCGGCGGCTGAAGCCCAACCTGTGCAAGCAATCTAACCTCGTGTCCAGTTTAGCCTTGTCATGGTAAGGCCTAGGATCAGCCACTGGATTTGATGACCTCGATCGCCTCATTTCCAAACAGGTTGCCTTATTGATTCCATATCATATGCACTCAATAAATCCTCCCACTGTACCTTTGTAAGCCACTGCTTGCGAATACACCAAATAAACTGAATTCGGTCTATCTCGCAAAATGCTGGTTGTTCTTTCTTTGTTAAACTTATCATCATTTGCCAATTTGCAGTGGGGGACATGTTTCGCAGACATTGTCGGCCTATTAGATTCCTTAACGCCGGCTTGACTTGCTGGAAGAAAAAGCGACAGTAAAAGACACACCATGCGTTTATTACCAGTCAAGTGACTTTATTTTCGTCGAATGATGCTTGGTCTTTCTTGCCCCCATCACGACACCAGGGATCGAATGGGTAATCGCGGGACTTCTGGAGGACGTAAATACCGTCGGGCGACGAGGTTCCGCCCGTAGGAACTTTGTAGCTCATAGTGTCGTTGATTCCATCGCGAGCTCCGCTGCAATTCAATGTCTAGCGAGCACTGCCACATCGCTAAATGACCTGAATCTGTTGGTTATTTTACTTGTTACACTTTCATAAATTCCTACGATCGGACTGGCTTGCTGAACTACCACATCGTGGTGTCATCTAGGTGGATCGGGTTTGCCACTTTCCAGCGGCAATTTTAGCGGCAATGTTCCAGGATGTGATGCTTTGTCGCCTGACAAGCGTTCTCTCTATAAAAAGCCACAATTGTCTGTTTAACAACACTGTGAAGTGGCGGACCTGACACGCCACTGAAATAAAT